CCCCCCCCTCCCCACGCCTGGTGTCAGCAGGGCCCTCCCCACACACACGAGCGGGCTCTCTCCACGCTGACCGAAAAGCTGTCCCGCGTCGACAAGAAGCCCCGGCCGCCGAAGCCGACGGCGAAGGCCGACAAGTCGGCCGGGCCGAAGGCCCCGAAGGGCGGTGCCGCCGCTTCCGCGGCCGGCGGCGCGGCCCCGGCGTCAGCCTCCTCGGGTACGGCCCCTGCGACGGGCCCCCCGGCCGGGTCGGCCTCTGGCGGCGCTCCTGGCCCCAAGGCCCGCAATGAGGGTGGCAAGGCTGCCGCCTCCGGGGGCTCGGGCACCGCGGCCCCCTCGCGCGCCAAGGAAACCTCCTCCAAAAAGCGCCCCGCCTCCTCGGCCTCCGCCGACCAGTACGTTCCCGGGCTTGGTACCACGCGTCGGACATGTCCCCCCGCCCCCTCGCCTGCTCCCTCTGCGGCTTGGCCCCCTTCCTGCGCCGGGGGAAAGTGTCGGACGCGCCCCCGGCGACAGGGACAAAGTCGCCGGAAAAAAAAGAAGCAGGACAAAGCCGCGCATGCACGCACACCCAGCACTAACCCCCTGTCTCTGCCTCGGGCTCCAGAAAATCCGGCGCCTCCGCGTCCGACGCCCCGGCCGCCAAGCGCCCCAAGAGCGCCTCGCAGCCGGGGGCCCAGTCGCAGGGCACGCAGGCGCCAAATGCCGCGGCCGGCGCCTCGCAAGCCCCCAAGCGCAAGGCCGCGCCGGCCAGCAAGAAGCCCGCGCGCAGTGTGTCCTCCTCGCCGGCCCCCGCCCCCGGGCCGCCGGTCCCCAGCATGGTCCCCAATTTGCCGATCATCGGCCAGCCGCTGGTGACCAATGTCCTGCCGGCGCCGGCCGACCCGGCGGCCGAGCCGTCCTTCTCCGTTTTCCACATCACCTCCCCGTATCCCGGTGTGCCGCCACGCTTCTTGGACTTGAGCAAATTCAGCACACAGCTGTCGAACCAGCCCCGGCCGGAGGCCTCCCGGCCCGGTGAGCCGGACCCGGACGACCTCCTCTCCCTGCCGGCCTTCAGCAATCTCGGTGCGTGCGGGCGGCCGGGCCGGGCCCTTGCTCCTGGCCTTCCCCCCCCCCCTCCCCCTCCCGCATGGGGAGGAGCAGAGGCGGGAGTAAGACGCCACACGGCCGCGGGCAATGTCGACACCGTGACTGACCACTTTTTTTGCCCCCCCCCCTTTGGGAGCGCAGCCAAGCTCGCGCGGCAACTTCGCGGCACGGACCCGGACCCCCATGCCGCGGGGTCGCTGGAGCCGGGCCTCCTGCTCCGCCAGCCGGCGGCCGAACGCCCGGCCGCCTCGAGCCCCCTGTCCATCGCCCTGTCGGTCAGCTCCTCGGACCCGAACCACATCATCGCAGCCGGGGCGGCGGCCTCCGAGCGCCAGGCCCGGGCACGGCTCTTCCTCGGCCGCGACGCCGAGGGCCGGTCCCCGCCGGAGTTCAACCACATCCCGCGGCTGCTGCCGCGGCGGCTCATCCTGCCGGAGGGCAGCGCCCTGGCCCTGCCGCTGCTGGATGACATCGCCAATGCCGACCAATTGCCGGAGATCAGCCTCAACCTGGCCACCCAGCTGCCCGACCAGCTGGCCCATGTGAACACCCGGGCCCCGGTCATGTCGGCCCTGCGCTCGCGCGACCTGGACGCCCTCAACGCCGAAACCATCCAGTTCATCGAGCGGAACAACGACATGCGCGGGGCCGTCCGGCGCCTGTACCGGACCCTGGCCGGGGATTACACCAATGGGCCGCTCTTTTCGCCGGCGGACCGCCGGCGCCCGCTCCCCTCGCCGGAGGAGGTGACCCGCGCGCTGCGCGCCGCCGGGGCCGAGGCCGCCGCCGCCGTCGCCGCCGCCGCCGCCCCGGGCGGCCGGGCTCGCGGGGCCGCCGCCTCGGCCGAGGCCGCCCTCCAGACGGTGCCGCGCTTGGCCGAGATCCTCAGCGACCCGGTGGGGGCGGGGCTGGGGCCGCTGTCGCCGCCGCCGCCGCTGGCCGGCGAGGCATTGGCCAAGGCGAACTTCGTGCGCGACCCGGCCGCCCTGGCCTCCTTGACGCACCTGTGCCTGCGGAGCATGGCCGCTTCGGAGTCCGTGGTGGACTCGCTGCTCAAGACCCGGTCCCTGGCGTACCACGCATGCTCCAGCCGTGCGCGCATTGTTCGCGTGGTGAAGAAGGTCAAGCGCACCGGGGCCACGGTGTCCGGCGGTGTCGGCACCAAGAGCGAGGCCGGCGCCCCCGCGGGCCGTGGCGGCGCCGGCGGCGGCGCCGGCCCGCCATCGGACCACGGCAAGTAGTCGCGCCTGTGCGCGCTTTTGCTGTCGCCAGCACCGCGCCCAGTCCCAGCCTTTGAGAATACATGTAACAAGATACGGGCGGCTGTGTGCCGGGGGGGGGGGGGCGGGGGGAGAACCAACCGACCGGCGGACGGGGGGCCACACGGCGAGACCGCCACCTCTCACTGCTTTCCCTGCTTGAAGCGCTTGTGCTGCTGGCGTTTCCCGGCGTTGGTCAGCTGGTGCTTGGCGCTGCGCGCTTGCTGGGACTTGTGCTGCTGGGCCTGGGTGAAGCGCGACCTCAGATAGCTGGCGGTCCGGGTGTCGCCCAGGACACTGTCCACCAGGCTGGTGGCCCGCTGACGCCGGGTCAGGCGCCGGTAGTAGCCCGTGGCTCCGCCGATGACCGTGCCCATCTGGAAGTGCTTCGGCAGCTTGCGGCTCTCCCGGCCGTAGTGCAGCTTCGGGTCGAGGTACGCACGCATGCGGATCACCTGCAGGTCGCGGCGCATCTCCGGCGTCAGCTCCGGCGACCGCATGCCGAAGTGCGTCTTCAGGGTGTCGGAGGGCTGTGTGGCCGGCGGCGGGGGGG